TAGATAGATAATGCATATTATAGTGTTCAGTATTTGCTAATTATATTTTTTTATATAACAATATGATACTTTGCATTTAAGTAGCTATTTAGTTGCCTTTGACTTAATAAGTCTTAACTTGTTAGTTTCTTAGTTCCTATTCTAGTCCTTAGGCTTTAAAAATAAAATCCAGGTAGTGAAACCTTTTGTCTTCTATGTTGCACAGCCTTGCAGCCTCAACATCTGAGAAATAACTAATCAAATAGTTGTGTTTAAAATTTTCATTTAGGGTATTATTTTGCTCTTTGTGCTTCCTCATCATGTTCGAATCTCCATAAATAAATGTTTTTAGGTAAAATAAATAAAATTTTATCTTTAGCTGTCATAGTTTAGAATGCAATAAAAATTGTGGTTTTCTGTTTATTCATCTTCACAGTTTTCTTTATTTTAGTCCAATCCGTAAATATAACCATCTTTAATTATTTCCTTAGTTGAAAATTGTTTGAATTTAATTACTTTATTAATTTGTTTTAGCAAATCAAGTTTTTCCCAATCTTCTGTTATGTTTTTGGTATTGTTTGTTATTGTCCTTTGTTTTTTTTATTTTATTTGGAAATTTTGGTATGAAAACCCACCTTAAACAAAAAAGTTAAATTCTGAAATTTTCAGGATTTTTTTTTTTAAGGCTCTTCCTTTTCAATTGAAAGGATCTTTAGTTTGAAAATTAATATTTTCAATTTCACTTTGGCCTAGGGATTGAAATTAAGAATTTTATTTATTACACGAAATCTACTCCCGCTGTATGTGCTTTATGCCTGGAAGGACATCCTGCCAACTACAAGGGCTGCCAAGTCTACAAAAATATCAAAAATAAATTTTGCAAACCCGGGAACCAAGAAGAAATCTCTAGCCCAGAAGAGGACCTGCTAGTAATAGTAGACTCTAAAGTTTCTTTTTCCCAGTTACTAGGGGGCAGTGCCCCGACTGACAAATGTGAGGCCCTGCCTCAACAGGAACCCCAATCCCAACTTCAACATCCTATCCCTCTTAAAGTGCGGAACCCTCAGCAACATCATATTCCTCCTCCATCTCAAGCCACAGACTTTACCAGTTTGGTATCTTTTCTCACTGAATTCAAATCCCTTGTTACCCCACTAAATCTAGTATCCCAGCTCATCCCTTCCTTAAAAAATCCTTAAATGATTTCCTCCAAACCCCTATCCATTCTCCTTTGGAATGCGAATGGTGTTAGAAATCACACTGACGAACTGACAGCTCTACTACTAGACAAGAACGTTGATGTAGCCCTTATTATGGAAACTCGACTAACCAAAAAACAAACTTTAAAAATACCACAATGCTCCACATACCGTACCTATCCGTGATTTCCTGCAATCCTAAGCTATCATAATCAAAACCTTCTCCTTTCCTATCACCCTTGCATTAGCGTATTGCCCTCCTAACCAATCCATCTCTAATACCCAATTCAGTTCCCTCCTCAATTCCTTAGGACGTCATTTCATCCTGGGTGCAGACTTAAACGCCAAGCATCAACAATGGGGCTCAAGAATCACAAATTCTCGCGGCCGAACACTGCTGTCTGCACTCAATTCCCAACGTTTTAACCTAGTTCTCCCGACCTCACTTACCTACTGGCCCACTGATCCTAACCGAAATCCCGATATCCTTGATTTCTTCATCCACAGTGGTTTAGGTTCCCTAAACTTTTCCATTGCACGCCTCGATGAACTTTCCTTAGACTACATTAATATTAAGTATCACTAGCTCCTATTCCTAAACCCTCTCCACCATGCTTTATCAGAGGTCCAATCAACTGGAAACTCTTCCATCCAATCCTTTTCGAACAAACTGACCTCAGAATAACACTGAAAACCCCAGAAGACCTTGATAATGCCATAAACTCCTTTACCACCACCATTCAACAAGCAGTCTGGACTGCTTCCTCTCCTAATCATTCCCCAATAATTCCTAAGAAAAATAAGTTATGGCAACTCACCAGACATCCCACAGATCGCCATTCCTATAATTATTACTCTAAAAAAGTCAAGCAAGAATTATCCAACTTCAAATCCCAATCCTTAAACTCTTACCTTACCTTCTTCTCCGCTCACGACAATTCGCTTTGGAATATCACTAAAAAAATTCTAAAATCCCAAAATATTTCCCATCCCCTCCTGGGTGGTGTCTGATGAAGACAAAGCTGAGGAATTCGCCAAACACCTCTCCTGTATATTTATTCCTCACCAATACCACTTTCCCTACCACCAAAAGCAGTTCATCCTTCTGAGGTCAAATATCATTTACAAAAATTATCTTCCCGCAAATCTCCTGGATACGACCTTCTAACCCCACAGATCCTTCATCAACTACCACCCAAAGCGATCATATTCCTCACATATATATACAACTGTATCCTAAGAACTACCCATTTTCCTCTCTTATGGAAACATTTCACCATCGTCCTTTTCCTGAAACCAGCCAAACCTTCCAATAACACATCAGCCTACTCCCAATCCTTTCAAAAATATTTGAAAAAATCTTATTAAAAAGAATCCTACCCATAATAGAATCACAAAACCTTCCTACCCATCAATTCGGATTTCGTTTCCAGCATTCCACCGTTCAACAAGGACTCCGAATTGTTGACCACATATCCTCAGCCTTAGAAAGCAAAGAGTATTGCTCGGGAGCATTCCTGGACATTGAGCAAACTTTCGACCGCGTATGGCACACCGAACTACTCTTCAAGCTCAAAACCCACCTACCCCAGTCCTTATATCTAATACTCCAATCCTACCTCTCTGACTGCTCCTTTCGAATTCGTTGTACAGAATTCTCCAACTGCCATTCAATTGAGGCGGGAGCTCCTCAAGGCAGCGCCTTGGGTCCCGTCCTCTACATTCTGTTTACCGCTGATATTCCTACTCATCCCTCAAACCCTCCTGGCAACATTCGCTGATGACACAGCTATCCTATCATCCAACCCAGATCCTAAAACAGCATCCTCAAACCTACAAAGTCATCTTTCTCTTATTGAACATTGATGTAATAAGTGGCGCATCCAAGTAAATGAATCCAAATCCAAACATATCACTTTTACCCTTCGGCGCAAGTCCTGTCCACCAGTCTACTTCAAATCCATACCACTTCCTCTCTCAGACACAGTCCGGTATCTTGGCTTTTTTTCTAGATAGAAGACTAATGTGGAACCCACATACCAGACTTAAAGACAACAACTAAACAGACGATTCGGACAGCTATATAGACTAATGAATAGAAAATCTCAGCTTTCAGTCGACAACTAACTACTAATCTGCAAGACAATCCTGAAACCTATCTGGACCCTACGGACTAGAGCTGTGGGGGTCAACAAAACCTTCTAACATTAAGCACATTCAATCCTTTCAGTCTAAAGTCCTCCGAACAATAGTCGATGCTCCCTTCTATGTATCCAACAAAACCCTCCATAATGACCTTTTTTTCACCAGAAACTCACTCATCATCCAAATCCTGTAGCACAATCCCTATCTAGCTCCAGCCATCCCTATAATCCTCCCCGGAGGTTAAAACAGCAGTGGCCTCATGACCTTTTGTAAATATGTATGTATTGGAATACTGGTAATGGCCAGATTCTCCACTCATGTCCTGAGTGTCTGTTGCTCTCGTGCCCTCCCTCCATCAGTCTCCACTGGCTTGCAATACCAGTGACATGGCTGGGAGAGAAGCACTGGGATCTCCTGGGGTCCTGCCTTGGCTTCCACATTTGGGAGACAAAGCATGACTTGCCTCTGGGCGAATGTAAATATTGTATATAGGTGTGAATGTGTTTTATATATTTCAATTTCATTTAACTTTTCTCTATTTTATTTTTTTTTTTTATTTTTTTTTTTCTTTACCTATGTATGTTAAACTCATTTTCTTTTATCTCTATTTTAGTTATCATTTGTATGCATATATTGTGTGAATGTTTAATGTAGCCCTGATATTAATGCCCTCCAATGTGGCAGAATGTATTAATTTTCAAATTAAAAAAAAAAAAATTGTTACGATGTTTATCTTGTGAAAATTCCTCAAAGAAAATTCAATATTTAAAAATGTTCAATTTATAGAGATAAAGACTGTAATGATTCCGTAATGCAGGATGTTCCATGTCTTATGGTTCATACTTTAAGGGTGTATTGTGCTCTTGTAATTCAGAAAAAAAAAATTGTAATGAACAAATGTCCACAAATGCATCCTGACATAATTGTAGCAATTTAATGTTAACATGAACGGCTAACACATTTTCTATTACTTTGTTATTGTTTTTATTTTATGAACCTAGTGTTTTTACATTGGTATTTCATTAAATTTTGTTTACATTTTCGGTTAGTTAAATATCATTTACATCTATTTTCCCATTTGAGTTGTTTATCTACTGTCTACCTTTATTTTTTTCTCCTCTATTTCAATTCAGTTTGTTGCTAATCATTAATGACATTAAGAAGTACTGTGTTAGTTTCAGGTATGTAAGTACTTCTTATTACTACCAGTATTACCATTCATTTTTTACATATTGGAACTCATGTATGATAACATAAAATTGTTGTTTATTATTGTTGGGCATGGTGTACTGCAGGAATCCAACTGCATGTGCTCCTATTTTAATAGAACAAACAAGAAGACTCATCAAAGAGCATATTTTTTGCCTCTTTCTCATTTTGAATGATTTAAGGAGACAATTTTTTTTCATCCCCTGTAAGGGAGTTGGGCATTGAACTAGCTAGTTTCACGCCTTTTTACTCCCTCTTGTTTTTGGTTTTGATATTCAAGTCCTGATTAAAAGTTGAATAGTTCTGATATTTTGTACTCATAAGGAAGATCAAGTACTTGGTAATCATGTTTCCTCTAAATTATTTTGTGACCAGCTTATTTAAAGATAAATTAAAGTAAATAGTCTAAAAAGCTACTTCTTGATTTCTATTTCAGAAATTTATTTAATTTATTTTTTATTTTTGTAGAGTGGTTATGGAAGTCGTAGTGTACCAGAAGATTATTATGAATCCAGAAAGAAGAAGTATTCTTCGAGGGAAGTAGTGGTTCAAAGAGGCGATAAAGGATCCTGGAAAGAAAACAGGTCTCTTCAAAATATTTAAATTAAAATTTTCTTTCCAAATATGATGAATTATAATTGTTCAATTAAATATTAGGTTATAGAGAATTTTTAGTGAATATTTTTCATTTATTTAAATATTTTGCTGATTATTGTTAGCCCTCCATCTGTGAGGAGTCGAAGTGGAAGGGGTGATGAATGGTCTGATCCTTGGATGAGATCTAAATCACCATCAAGAAAGGGTGCATCAAGGAAAAAATCCTATTCATCCAGATCCCGTTCTTCTTCATATTCATCGTCTTCGTGAGTTTCTTTTCTTTTCTTATTTGGATAAAATAAGAATCATAAATATATTAAATATAATGCAATATTAATACTCATTACAATGTTTAGTATTAAAAGTTGCTTATTCAATTTTTTGTATTCTCCGCCATCGCTTTTGATGGATGTATTTTTGCCATATGTCAACTATTTATTATTTAAGCATTTGTAGCCCCAAAGACATCTTTAATTTATCATTTGATGTATTAAGTGTCTGGTGTCTAGAATCACCAGAAAAAAAAACAGAGCAAAGGAAATAAAAGTAGAATGCCATATGTCAACTATTTATTATTTAAGCATTTGTAGCCCCAAAGACATCTTTAATTCATCATTTGATGTATTAAGTGTCTGGTGTCTATAATCACCAGAAAAAACAGAGCAAAGGAAATAAAAGTAGAATGCCATATGTCAACTATTTATTATTTAAGCATTTGTAGCCCCAAAGACATCTTTAATTTATCATTTGATGTATTAAGTGTCTGGTGTCTAGAATCACCAGAAAAAACAGAGCAAAGGAAATAAAAGTAGAATGGAAGTTGCTGGTCATTTCTCAATTACGGAATTACACTCATGTTGCTTTTTTTATGGATATTTGAATGTTAGAATTTTCAACACTATTCTACTTTCTGTTCCTTTAGGATATAAAACATGACCAATAAGGTAATGGGAAGAACGATAGCTCAAGATTTTTAAAATGAGTAATGAATTTTCAAAACATGAGCAGTCCATAGGGCAGCAAGAGAAGGGTGAATGAATACGAAGTATTGATTTGACAGAGATCTTTTCTGGGTCGTAGTGCCTGTGATGGTAATAAATAATCTGCAGAGAAGGGAGGGGAGAATTTCCTCTTTGCTTAGTTGGATTCCACAAATGAAGTTTTACAATATTGTTGGTGTAAATACCTTGAATAATCTATTTAGTAGGTCATGATGGCTGATTTTGGGGACGGTGTTGCCGAATGGGCTAATCCGTGTGCAGAGCACCGGCAACCAGGTAACCCAAGTTATGAAATTAAAAAAAGTATGAGTTCACGTCCCGCTGCCGGAGGGGATTTTAAATTCCCCGTCCACACCCTCCTTCCCGGAAAAATCCCGTATAGTCTAAAAGGCGAGCTAAGGAAGGACAATAAAAAAAAAAAGTCATGATGGCTGAGCATCAGAGTCAGTATCACCGGCTTGGTTGGGTTGATATTTATTTTGTGCTGACCCACAGGATGAATCTTGAACAATCCCCTTCAACTACTTTTCCTTTCTTAATTTCATGAAGGTGATGTACTAAGCATAAAACGTTAGTATTCTGTTAGCATGCTGGGAAGAAATAAAGAAGGTATATGATAGGTGGGTGTAAAAATACTTATACTATTAAACATATATGCTAAAAAAATTTATTTATTTATTTTTCCGAAAGTGATCAGAAATAAATAAAATAATCAAATAAATTGAACATAAAAGTTTTTAAAATAAGAAGCATTGATGCTTTAAGAAGTATATAGAAGTTTATTTTCTATTCTATCTGTATTGTTGAACTTCATTTGAACTATTCTATGTGTTTTCAGTTCTAGGTCCAGTTCGAGTTATTCTTCATACAGTCATTCGAGATCGCAATCTTCAATATCTCGGTCAGGATCCTCTAGGTCAAGGTCGAGATCTTCATTCTCTAGGAAAAAGCTTTCACCACTTTCGAGAAGAGCTAAATCACCCTTTTCACGAGGTACTACTAATTTTCTTATTCATGTTGATTTACTGTACTACCCAAGTTAGAAGAACTATCATAATAGGTTGAAAAATAGTTTTTATGTTATTACCAAATTACGAAAGAAATTTTAAAAAAATGCTGATGTCATTGTCTCTTGTTTCTAAAGATTACCCCCTCTCCAAAACTCTACCAAACCATTTAATCTAAGTGAAAGTGACGTATAATATTAAATTGAGTAAAACTAAACCAATGATGAGAGCAAGAATTAGAATATTAAATTAATTCTGGAAAAACTTAAAATGATACTTATTTTGCCATAGTTGAGAACTCAAACACTACTAATTTTCTTATTCATGTTGATTTACTTTACTACCTAAGTTAGAAGAAAGAACTATCATAATCGGTTGAAAAATAGTTTTTAATTTATTACCAAATTATGAAAGTAAATTTAAAAAAAATGTTGATGTCATTGTCTCTTGTTTCTAAAGATCACCCTCCCTCCAAAACTCTACTGAACCATCATGATCTAAGTGAAAGTGATGTATAATATTAAATTGAGTAAAACTAAACCAATGATGAGAACAAGAATTAAAATATTAAATTAATTCTGGAAAAACTTAAAATGATACTTATTTTGCCATAATTGAAAAATCACACATCAATTTTTTTCGTCGAGAATTACTATAGCAAATCACCCAACAGTCAGGCTCCTCAAGGAACTAGCTGAGCTGGTAAATTCCCATAGATTTTGGCAAAAAAAATAAACCATTTCTATTAGTCAGCAATTATATAAGACTTGCTCTTTTCAACCTTTCTATTCCTTTATCTCCTTCCCAGCCCAGATCCCTATAAAGTATTAAATTAATTCTGGAAAAACTTATAATGATACTTATTTTGCCATAATTAGGGTACTATGAACAAGCATTGACATTATACGCTGATGACTCCAAGCAAGGATTTGAAATTAGTTCAGCTTTGTATAATCCATTAGAAGATACATCAGAGCCGTTTAAGCTACCGGGGGTAGCTTCCATATTTACCACCTAGGCTATAGCAATACCAGAAGCTCTAAAGTATGCCCTATCTGCTGAATCTTTTATTTCCTCTGATAGCAAAAGTGTGGTTGCCTCTATCAAGAATGTTCACAGCTCCTCTTATGCTACTATATCCGAAATATTTAATTTACTATACCAGTTAGGTAATAGGTGCATAAATGCACATATTATTTGGATAAGAGGGCATAGTGGTAATAAATTTAACGACAAGGTTGACTCTTGATAGAGAAGCGGCTTTTACCGGTAATAGTTGACTGAAGGTAGCAGCGAGAGAAACTAAGGCTCACTTAAATAGATACTGGCTAAAAGAGTACTCTACCAGTGTGAAAGGGCATTATTATGAAACTGTCCAACCTCAAATCCCACGATTTCAACTTCTATATCAGGCCTTCGCCTCAACCACAATAGCCTACCACCTTATCTTTTTAAAATAAACATCTTGGACTCTCCTTGTTGCTTCTGCAACCATTCCTCAATAGCTGATGAAAACCATGTTCTCCTTTCCTGTCCAAATACATCCACAGACCATGGTTCTTTCTACCATTTTCTCATCAAAAACAATATCTCCCTCTCCATAACAATTCCTACTATCCTTACACTAACACCTAAACCAAAAGTTATTCAAGCCTTATATAACATTATCACTTCTAATAATATTAACTGTTCAGCAAATGAATTGATTGGTATGAAATATAAATTGGTATATTGGCTAATATGCTCATTCATAAAGCCAGAAAAATATCACACATGAAAATTTTTTATTCTACTTTAAATGATTAATAATTTCTTGACTAATTTCACTACATATATTTATTTTAGTTCTAATTTATTATACTTTAATTTTTACTTAATTAAGTCCATTTAATTTTATTATTTATGTGTAAAAATTTGATCATTACCTAAGAGAAATTTATCTTATTATTTGATACATTAATTATAATTTTAATTATGAAAAAAACATGTGATTATTGTTGTTTTTAATTCTTATTGTGTGATTTGTTTCTTTTTAACAGAAAGAAGGGTTGGTGAAGGGGACAGAGGCCTCCATATGAATCCACCTCCACCTAGTCCTAGAGGATTGTCCCCTCGAAGAAATCCTACTCCTCCTCCCCAAGCAGAGCGGTTAGTTTCTATTAGTATTTTAAAATTCATTTTAGATGTTGATAAGATACTTTAAATTCATTTTAGATGTTGATAAGATATTTTGATACATACATGGATTTATTTTTGCAATGCTGTTTGGTATTTTTAAAGATGAGAAATTAAATTGTTTTGGTTGTTCATTTGTTTAGTTTACTATTGGTAAACATTCCTGATGTTAACATAAGCCGAATAAAATTATCCAATCCTTCATCATTTGGCTTGGTTGTAAAATATTATTACTATTATGATCATGTTGAATAGAAAAATGGAAATAATTTTTTTTTTTCATAAGCATGATTATTTTATTGAAAAAATAGTCTCAAAATTGATCTAAATTTTTAATGAGAATCCATGGATTGATCATATTTTGGGAAACTGCTGAATATTTACATCATCAAAAGTTTTTTTTTTTAATAATTTTAGTGTATATATATTTTTTTTTTCCTATATAAAATTTCTTCTAAATAGAAAATAGATTTAAAAAAATAATATGATGTGGTTTACAGTTTTCTTTTTTTCTCCCCTTCCTCACCTTTTTGGCTATACAGCGGAGGATTAATGCCAGACCTTTAAGTCCCCCTGCCATCGTAATTTAAACTAATAACTTTGGTTCATCAGGTTGCTGGGTAATGTATATTTTGCATATGCATTAGGTTGCTCAGCCATCTCGCCCCTAAAATTTATACAGGTTATTACTAGGATTAAAGATGAGTTTTGGAAGTGTAAACATAACACTGTTTTATTTTTTAATTTGTCTACTGGATTTCAAATGAACTCATTATAGTCCGTGGTACAGACCCCTTTTTATCAAATTATTAACATCCGCCTGAAACTTCGTAAATAGCTTTATCTCATCGTAACCTACAAATATTTTATTTACAAAAATTCTTGGAATAGGGGTGTTTTCATCTGTTGGTCGGCAAACTTTGTCTATTTAATTACATACTAAAAACTCGTAAATACCCAATTGCTTTCCACTTGAATTGTTAGATAATTTGATTACAAAATCTATAAAAAAAGGTGGCCTACAAAAATATTGGGCCGTTTAGCCTATATAACCTCATTATTTTGAATATTTGTGGGTTGGGGTTTAGGTCACATTCCAATGGCTCAATATTTTTGAAGGCCACCTTTTGTCTCAACTTTATGCTCTAGTTATCTTACGATTCAAGTGGAGAGCAAATGGGTATATGATATGATATTTTTGTCTTAAATTAAATAAAGCCGTTTATATTAGTAATACTTAAATTAAATGAAGAATTCATAACAGCTATAAATTGATTCAGGAGTTAGGAGACACTCGTGGGGCAAGCTGAGTGGGATCTTAAACAAAATACGGAATCCAACTCATCATGGGTTGGATTATTTATGTATAGTAAATTTACTGTATGCACTTTAAAATAGTAAAGCTACCATCAGCTTACATTTTTTTCTTCATCCCGCAGAAATAGTCGAAACATCTCTGCAAGGCTACTAGCTGCAGCGATGAGGGATAGGTCAGTTTCATCGAGGTCTAGCTCAGGCTCAGAGTCATCAGGTTCAAGCTCTGACAGTTCAAGTGATTCCGGATCTAGCTCCAGTTCTAGTAGCTCAACTAGGCGCAAACATAGTAAGTACTACATCATCTTGCTAGGTTTTGTTTAATTTTAATAAATTTTTACAACAAAGTATCATTCAATACAAATTTTATCGACAAAAATTGTTAGCAAATTTTTGTTATGTCTTGTAATTTTCACCGTATGGAACGGTTCCAAATGGAAAACTAGCAACTGACTCTCCAGAAAAGAAGAGACAGTCCTCTGCCGCTTGAGAATTGGGCATTGTGAGTTTTCACATGCCTATTTACTAAGAGGACTAGACCCACCGACCTGCGAGAGCTGTAAGGTGGAAAGAACTGTCCAACACATCATCCAAGACTGCCCAGTATTTCAGAATGTAAAGAAAAATCTCGATATGGCTCAGAGCCTAAAAGAAAACCTCAGTGGCAACGAAAACGCCGTGGATAAAACCTTACAATTTTTAAAAATAATAAAGTTCTACAATAGAAGATAAATAGGAAGTGTTGACAATGGCCCTGCAGAGTAGAGGCAACAATAAAAACAAATAAATAAATAATAAAAAATTGAAATTTATCATTGATAAAATCATTTTTTTTTATTAAGGACTTTTCTACTGTGGTTATCCATATCCTTGACCTAAATATCATTTAAGGTACTCTTCCATTCTTCTTTATCTAAGACTTGTTCTTCTCTGATGCCATGCCCCAGCAGGCTATCTTCCACCACGTCTTTCCATTTTATCTTTGATCTTCCTTTTCCTCTTTTTTCTACTTCCAGTTCCATACATAACCAATGTAATCTTGCAGGTGTCACTCTTTTAACATGTCCAAACCAGCATAATCTTTTCTATTCAGTATTTGCTGTAATGTTCATCCCACCTCCATCATTCTTTCATATTTAATTCTTTCTCTTCCGGATTTTCTTACTGCCCTTCTCCTAAAGTCCATCTCTACTGCTAACAATCTTTTCCAGTGTCTTTGATTGATGATCTGAGGCATATTTCGTTATATGCTCGCATATAGCCTTGTATATTAGCCTGTTTGTACTCGGCTGTTTAATTGAACTCCAAAGGACACCATTGAGTATTACCGTGACGTTTCTTCCTACACTGATTCTCCTGTCGATATCATTGGTGGTAAGGTTTCTTCTCCATTAAATATTGATCCTAGGTATTTAAATTTCTCTTATGTTTTTACGCCTCTTTCAATTGATGTATCATCACATGATAAAATCATAAGGTGCTCTGTTTTTTTTAAAGTTAATACTCAGACCGCACTTTTCACTTGTCTCTAAACTTTTTGAAGATATAATTGATGTTCTCTCAATCCTGGGCTATGATTGCTTGATCATCAGTACACATTAGGTTCTTGATGCATAAATCTTCTCCAATACCTATTCCCATTTTCCCACATTTTCTTTTCCACTCTCTGGGAGCAAAATCTACATAAATATTGAAAATGGTATGGGAAAGGCAGCACCCCTGCAAACATACTTTTGAAGTATGAAACACAACAGGCATTATTATAGTATATTTCTTTTATGATATTTATAATGGACTCTGATTTATTTGCTAATTACATTGTAATAGCAGCATTTCGAAAGTTAATTAACTTAACTAAAATATAATCAATTAACAACATTCGCATTTCTTAATTTTATTTAATAAATTATTACTGTTTTGCTCACCTGCTATTTTATTCACTTTATTTTTTATTGTATAGACCGAAAGAAAATCGAACTGGATGAAAAATTAGCTCAAGCTGTTAAAGCTAAGGCTAAGGCAATGGATGCGTTGAAATTGTCTGGACAAAAACAACAAATTAAGCTGACCTTAAAGGGCACTGGCTCTTCCATTTCTGGTTTGTATTATTTTCTTGTTATTTTTTAGTAGTTATTAATGTTCCGCATTTATAAAATAAACTATTATTATGACTTGGAGTATAAAAAAAAAAATAATGCATTTGACCTTCTAACTATACCAAGCGGTAACAGAAGTTTCTGAACACATGAGAGTGAAAGATTCTCGGGATAATATTTGTTCAAGCCAATAGAAGGAAATCATTTCCAAACCAAAACTTGTTTGGCTATGTGATAATATGACATCATAGGCCTCAGAACATTCCGTGATATATTTTTTATATATTTTACATAATATTTGTAATATTTTTACAATATTTGTATAATTTAATGTATAATGACTTGAAGGCTGTAAAAGATTATCTTTTGCGTTGTAACATCTTTTTTCTGACTGGATATTATGGAACTGTCCAATTATTCCTTAATCAGTTTGAATGACTGTAGAGCCTAGCCTTTTTGTGTGTCATTTTGATTTCTTCAATCAAACTCGTTATGAACTTGAGGATTATGTTTGGGAACCAGATTTATTATCTTATTTGAAGGTGGTTAGGTCATGTAGACAACGTGAATTCAAAAATACTTCGTTTTGAAACATTCAATTTATTGATGTCCTGATGTAAATAGTGGAAGACACAAATCTAGGCTATTGATTAGAAGGTGTCATAATTGTCAGTCACAGCTTCTAGGAGTTGTAAGATGGAGATAATCGGTTTGAGAGGAGACATTCACAGATCATGATTTAGTTGCCATAGTCTTATGGTCTTGTCATGGTCCATACTTAAATGGTTGCCTCATTTTATGTGTATGTGTTACGGATTGTGAAAAAAAAAAGTAAATTGAAATTCCTGTAGTTATATTGCTCTACTTTATAAGAAACAAAAGGTAACATTTAGTTGTAATTAAATAATCATTCTTAATTTCGTATTTTATAATGATCTAATTGGGTATTTTAACTATTACATCTTACAGAAAGGTTAGCTGCTCCACTCACACGTAAGAGGCCAGCTCCTGACTCTCCTAATTCAGGTGAAGACGACAGCTCTCCGAATGTAAGTTAACTTATTTTAAATTTACATTAGCTTTTAAGTACGTGTTTTATGGTTCACCTATTAAACATTTTTATTTTTTTTTCAAATTACAGGTTGCAAAGAAAAAGAGTGCCCCTTCAAGAAGGGAAGAACTTTTGAAGCAATTGAAAGCTGTGGAAGATGCTATTGCAAGGAAAAGGTCCAAAATTTAATTCAGGGGATACTTATTTGAAGGCAATTTGCTTGCCTTAATTTCCTTTATTCTTAAAATTATTTTTTTACATACCTCTAGTAGAAGCTGCTCCTGAATTAAAGGAACATCAATTTTTGACCAAGTTGTTTTTGAACTTTTTTAATTGAAATATTTTTATTTTGTACAAATTGTCTCCTTACAGCCTTCTCTAAGGCAATATGTATATTAGCTTGGAAACTTTATCGAATGAGATGTGTATAAAAAATTAAAAAAGAGAAAAGCTATGTAAAATGATTGTCATTTTTGATGAAAATAATTTATAACAAAAACATTTTGTAGATTTTAGTTTTGAACAAATAAACCATGATCAGTATTTATAGCTCTGATTTTTTTTGCTTTTATAATCCTCTCATGAGGATCAGTTTCAATTATACTTTGGCTTCAATTATTCCTGTTCCCTCGCTCTTTCTTCTTTCAGCCATCAATTTATGGTCACACAGAATACGCTTACTTTTTTCAGGCAATTTTGTTATTAAAAAAAAAATAAGTTTCTTAACTGTTGGTTTTAATAATTGGCAATTAGAAATTAGTCCTTACCTGAGGTCTTTAAGTTTATGCCAATACACTTGTTGACAAACTACAACCTTAAAACTGATGATGCACTTGTTTGTACAACTTTCTTCACAAGAAACTTCGTAAAGAGCTAACTTTGACCTCACACTAAATAAAAACGCACCAGTGATGTCTGACCTAATATTAAGCATCTTTTTCATCAAAACCGACTAAACAGATATGGTACTTTGTACCATCAATTTTATCAAAAAAACAGATTTGATAATTTTGATTGATCTAATCATGTTGATGTAAAATTAAATGGTGTTAATTATCTTGTTGGCATTAACTCCATTTAAATAGTATGACAGGGTTTAAATGGCAAAAATTTTCTTCTGAAGTACCTTCAAGTTTTGCAAGAAAGTGGGAGAAATATTTTTGCAGGTTAAAAACAAATTTCCAAAAACAAGAGTAGTAATATATAGATATAGAATTTATTTTATTAAGAAGTTCGTAATTGTTATATAAATCATATTTGGTAGTAACATATATTATCTATAATATATCATTGGAAAGTACAAGATTTGATAAAAAATAATATTTAACAATATTCATAAAATCAAGTTTTAGAAGACAATGGGAAGTGACCAATGACATAATTGTTGTAGTTGTAATGTCTACTTTTATGTTATTGAATGGTAAATAAATGTTTCTGTAGAAACTAAAAGGAAATTCCAAAGAAAATACATGAAAATAAATTTTATGTTTTTGAGTTTGATTAGCCAAAAATGTATAGTGCACTGAACTGTCACAATTTATATTAATTGCCTCAAGTTTGTATTTATAATTAAAGTGATATTCTCAAGGTTTGTTAATTTTCCGAAAAAATAAATTTGTGAATGTTGAGTGATGCATAGTACTTAACTAGACTTTTTTATGTTATTGTTTTTTTTCATTGCTGTTATTAACATCATTTATTGATGAAGACATTCCAAGATATCTGTATATCTTAATATAATTTCAATATTTTAATTTATTTTCTTTTGCTTATGTCATGTATCATCTGATTGAATTTTATCATTTCATAATTATTCAGAAGCCAGATAAATGTTTGTGGTGCAATTTTACATTCGTATTACTTATAGAGGACAAGGCTCCCAAAATAAAATTTATATTTTGAGTAAACTGAAGAAATCAAGCTAAATGACGTTAAAAATGTTTCAAGTAGGCACATTTTATTTTTATCACAAACCTAATTGTGTTCTATATTTTAATTTATATATAACATATTGACTATAAATGAACTTTATTGGGTTTGTTTTGTTTTTAAAATTTAAAAATCTATTCCTAATATTTTTTTTCAATTTCAATTTTCTATTGGTGAACCAAGAAATAGTTCTTTATTTGATGAAAGTAGTGAGCACTAAGAGATTATTTTATGGTGATTTTGTATACTTGAATTTTTAAGAAGTATTTAATATTGTATGAGGAGTTGGTCTGGGGTGCTGTCAAATAAATACTAAAAAATATAATAGTATTTATTTTATCGCATCCCCGACCAACTCCTTCTCATATCATAATCATGGTCAACCGCCTTTACACCATTTAATATTGTAGTATTATAATTTTACTTGTGCTGAATAGAGAATGGCACTTCAGTGATATTTAAAGACTTGAAACTCACTCTACCAACATACAAAGGTGCAGAAGACATACACAGATTGAGTCCAAAGGAACATGTGAATAAACCTTTAATACAAAGCAAAATATATTGTACCTTGCTAATATGGGTTGCATTTTAATTTTTTAATGAATTTGAATAGCTTTCAAATGATTACCAACATTTTTTGAGATATTCAGAGAATAATTGTTAGAATTTTGACATAATTTTTTTAACCACTTTTTCCAAACCCAGCTTTATTGGCACTGCCATTTTTGAGATATAGTTATAAACAAGTGAATCACATCTTTCTTTCATATGAGCCCTTCAGTTGACAAAATGACTAACTCAAAATTCAACAATTTTGATAAATAATTTTAGGGATATCTCTAGTGTGAAAATGTAAACCTTTCTTCACAGTTCTATATTTCAACACTGCTATCACCTACTCACTGTCTGTCCAGATATAAATTTTCCAATTAGAAATATCACTAAAATGATTTTACCCAAAAATGTTGAAATTTGAGTTGTCATTCTGTCAACAGAAAGGCTTATATATAAAAACTGGTTCACTTCAATCTCGAAGACAAAATAAATCATTGGTAAGAATCAAGAAACCTCAGTTGAAGGGGAACAATAAACAATAAAACTGTTAGTAAGCAGAGAAATTTTCAGTACGTAAATTAACTCTTGAAATTGTAAAATCATCAAACAATAATTAGAAAAAGGAAAAATATCGAATAAAATGAATCCTTTATTAATACAAAGAACCACATCTTCAACAGAAGATAGCAATATTTATAAGTGAAGACATGATTGGTTTTCGGAGGCGGGAAGGTAAATCCAAAGATAAAAGAGTGGCAATTGCTTAAAAAATAAATTCTAAACTTAATTTATGAATGGGGTTGAATACTTGTCCCAATTATGAAACTTAAACTAAAGAGAATAAAAGAGATAAATTAATGCTTATATTTTATTTTGTCATAAATAATGAACTGAGTTATATTTAACATCACAATGGTCAGTCACTAAACACATTACATAGAAACTTGTTGCAGGAGATAGACTGGACCACACATCTATTCAAAATATCATGCAATAGTAAATAAGAAAATCACAGTTAAACAGAAAACATTAAAAAAAAAAATATTTACAGGTATAGCATGTTAAACTCTATTTCTTACATGGTGACTTTATTTACATATAACGATTTCAACATAAAACTTAAAACATATTTTTTGATTTATCAGATTCATTCAAAAAAGAAAATAATGTAAAAACTCAGATGACTATATACTATACATCAAATTACGTATATGTATACATCAGTCGTATATGTATCTTTAAAAACAAATTTAAAATATGATATGGGTATCTTTAATAAACCATTAGATGGAGGGAGGTAATACATTGGAGTAAGCTGCTATTTATTTTTTACACTTTTCTCAGCAGCCTTTTTTGCTTTGACCATTTCTACAAGGTCTTTGTATCTCTTCATACAGTCTTTCTTACTCCTCGATGGAACACAATCAGCTATCCTATCCCACCTTTCTGGTGTGCTCGCCGGGTAAGTCTTCAAGGCTTGCTCTAATAATCTCTGTTCTTCTGCAGTCCATGCTAGTAGTTCTGGACCGTCAAATCTGTAAAGTAACATAGATAAGTTAAATTAATTTACACAAACTTATCCAGAATCCACATCTGTACTTTTTGTCATGAAGTAATTTGATATAAAAAAACATCGCTAAAAACAAAATTTCTATCTAAGAGGACCTTTTAAAAATAGCACTCAAGGACATTTAAAAGTCATTTTTTAATGTGTAAACTAGAGAAAAAAACAAAACAAAAATATCATTCTCCAGACCTTTCTAGAATGTAGGAGTGATTCAAGTCATTTGATAGAGGAAAAATACATTGAAGAAAATTAGTTTGCTTCTACTTAAAAAAAATATAATTATAATGAATAAATAAATAAACTATAATTATAAAGGACAGATATGATAAATGTATCACTTTCCTAAAAGAGAAGTTCCATGAGACCTTCGGAGATAGAGAGTTCACCGTGAGAGGCCTCTGGCTTGGGTCTCGCAGAATAACTCCAAAAAAAACAAGGAGCTTCCTCGAGGAACTAGGTGTCGACATTAAGGATTTAGCAATATTGGCATAATTAACCAGACTAACAGTAAAGATGATTTTTAATGGTATGTTGGATAGGCTGCCCACAAATGATGCTAAAATGGTCTCAGGGGACTTGAATGCAAAGGTGGACTTTCAGGAAAACGTCAAGCCAGGTGTTGGTCAGTAGAGCAGACACCACGAATCTAAAGAAAATGAGCAAAGACTTGTTGATTTTATCATCAGAAAAGGCCAATCAATCAGCATTACACATTTCCTCATAAAATTATACATAAACAAACATGGATCTCTCAGAATGGACTAACAATAAATCAATTCGGTGATGTGCTAGTTGATTCCAAAACACAACCCATATTACAGAAGTCCGAGTTTTTAGAGGGGCAAATTGCTACTCAGACCACTTCTTTAGCATTGAACAAAGAAGAGAGTAATGAAAATCCGAAGGATCTCGTTCTGGGTCAGTCCCTAAGAAATGATGATGGAGACAACATAGAAACACCTCCAAAGAAGGGAGAGGTTATGGAAGAATTCCTCAGCATGAAAAATTACTAAGCTCCTGGTGTTGACTTAATACCAGTGGAACTGTTGAAGTATGGGAGAGATAAAAAAAAAATTTTTTACCTCTTCAGTGAGCTGTATGAAATAATTTTTGATCTATGGATGACTGAAAGGATGCGCCAGCCTATGGGCTATAGCTCTTTTATATCACATTTACAAGAAAGGTGACAGACTGCAATGTGAAAATTATAGAGCTATAGCCCTCCTTAGCATTGATTACCAAGTTCTATCGTCTTTGATCTGCAGAAGATTAGAGGCACACATGGAGAGAATTGCCAATGACTACCAAAGTGGATTCAGACAAGGAAGGTCAAAAACTGACTGAATTTTTAATTTTAGGCGGCTGTTGGAAAAGACAAATGAATTTGAAATTACGCTGCACCAATTTTCATATATTTTCTGCAAGCCTACGATTGTTTTAAATTAGTACATCTACTGTGTGCTTTGCATAGATTGGAAGTCCCAAAAAAGATAGCAATCATAATTCGTATTACCATGAGCAGCTCTCAATGCCGGATCAAATAATAGGGCATTCTTGGACAGTTTTCCTGTTAACAATGAACTTCGACAAGAAGATCCTGAGGCTGCAGTTCTTTCTAATTTTTCTAGGGAGGGCACAATTCCACATAGGACCATTCCTGGTGGCACAATCTACAATAAATACATACAGATATTGGCCTACACGCAGACAATGTCCACCTTGACTCAATATTAAACTAGGCAATAATTAACTACTAAAATGGATTTTTTTAACCTTACAATTGATTAATTAAACCAAAGTTTGGTTATCTCAAAAAAACAATTCTTTATTTTTTAATTTCAGCTAAAATCAAAATACCTTTAGCATTTTGAGATGATCAATACCTAATGTCAAAGTATTATTAACAATTATATTAATTGTTAATAATATACAAGTATATTATACTACACAGAAAAAAAAACCTGAGGAATCAATTTTATGAATGTAGTTCATAAAAATAACAAAAAAGGATAAAACTTTTTCATTCTACAAATCACGATCTAAATAAAGGGAGACAAAGCTGACATGTCAATCACTGACTATTCTAGGAATCCCATTTATAATGCAAAAAAAGGTATCTTGGTCCACTGGACAATGTGGAGTGACATTTTTACAGTGTTTCCTAAAGTAGTAATAATTCTTATAAGCATTTATAATCACAATTATATCACAATAACCAACGAACCATTGGTCCATCACCTCCATCTACTTTTAGGTACACTCGGCAATTTTCTAAGTTCTATGTACAATGAGATCTTTACCAACAAAAGAACCAGGTGACACTACTATAGTGGTACCAAAATAAAAAGTAACCATTCAGTAACTAATATTAAAGTTATCATTGCTAATAATAAAAACCTTAAAGCTACTAGTAGTTCTAAATCACTATTCCAACAAGGCAATTTGTTTCAAGATGATTTCAAGCATACTGTGAGTGGAATCTCAAAATAATCTGAGCGCCTGTAAGTAGATATAGATCCCCAACCCTTTGTAACAGAATGTTTACATTAGCTAAGATAAGTTAAGCTAGTCCTAATCACGTTCACTTCTTTTTATAAGTAAATAACTGAGTGAACCATCGCATAGAAATATTTTCCGAAACTTTCACTTCTAACTAAACAATTAATATCTAAATTAACATATATTTTATGTTTTCTATCTGACATAATCAACATCCTGAGTACTCTTTTGTATTATTAAGCACAATCTATAATTCTGACACAAGGATATAAATAATAAAGATTAAATTGAAGCACGGCTGCAACCAAAATTAAATTTATATTATAAACACATTTCTATGTATCCCACATAAAATAATTACTAATTTTGAATGAGAAATGCTTAATTAAATATGTATAAATTATAAATTTAAAAAATACAAAGAACATTTATACGGCATGATTATTCTTCTGCCAGAAATTGTATATGTTTTACAGGTACAGTACAAACAAAGACTTTATAACAACTACATATACATGAATGACTGTTAAACAATAAAACAACTAACACAATATAAAATAATAAATATTTTGAATAATTTATGTCTAAGAAATAATAATAAAAGAAAATAATGGAAATCATACACAATAACATGAATAAAACTGAACACAAATAAATTAGACGGATCATTGTTTATGCTGGATGTAGCAAATTAAAACGGTGTTTTCACGCATGCCGAGCAAAACCGACAATGTTTTAACATTCGTTCACAGAGGGAGCATTTAGAATGGAAATTAGGATATCATTTCGAACCGGGCTAGTTCCAAGAAATTTGATACAAAATAATTACTAATTAACGCAGTAATTTTACAATATTATCTATGAACAGTGTTTGGAATTACTCCTCAGTAAATTGCTTTCAGCGTATTTTAGGCAAAAAAAGTCTAGACATGTTTCCTATTGAATGAGAGTGAGATTGCCAATATTCAACTGTAATTTGCATTTCATCAATAGTGACTCTTAAACCACATGACATCTCAGTGCAGTAATTTAGAACTAGTATCACCTTAGATATAAATCAATAAGTTTACACTTACCTTTGTGATGTTTCAACTTCCACATTAGTTGATTTCTTGCGTTTTTCAAGATTGTCAAAAGCTTTTTGATTAGCTGCAGCTTTCACACTATCATCAAGTGACTGCAATTCTTTTGCTTTGCAAAGAACCTCTCTAGCAGTAACAGTATTTTCCTTTCTTTTGCCATGTTGATTCATAAAGTTTGCTACTACTTCCCACCTCTGATTTGTTCCAGCTGGAAAAAGGTTTACAGCCTTAATAAGAAGATTTATATCAGCCTGAGTCCAACTAAAACTAGAGTTGTTTGTTTGACCATTCATTTGTTTATTGTTGACAGTTTTCAAGTGATTTTCCCTTTCTGACTGCAACTCCTTCTCAAGTTGTTCTATCTTAGAAAGAAAAACATTACGACCACCATCTTTCAATTCTAAATTTAGAGTTTCAAGTTCTTTCTGGTTTAAAAGTTCACACAATTTCTCTGTGTACTCCATATGTTTAACTAAATCATTTTGTGTTTCAATAAAATAGTTATTAGCTTTGCAAGTATCCCGTAAAATTTTTCTTTCTTTTTTTAAAGCCCTTTTTTGTGCTTCTCTTTCAGCTTTCAAGGCATTTTGCTTAGCTTTTTCTGCAGCCTCTTGCTCTTCTTTTTCTTTTCTCAACTTATCTTCAAGTTCTTTTTGTACTCTTTCAATCTCTTCTTGTTTAGCTCTTGCTGCTTCTATTTTAGCTCTTTTTTGAGCTTCTTTTTTGTTTTTATCTTCCTGCTTGAATTTAACAATTCGAGGGTCATTATTATAAGCTAAATCAACAAGACTACGAATCCTTGCCATTTCCTCTTTCTTTCTTTTAGCCCTCACAGCTCGATTTTGTTTTTCAATCCATCTCCTTTCATCTCTATCTTGACCACTCTCTTTAGCTTCTTCATCTTCATATGAATATTCTCTCCATGATTCAAAGTTGTACCAAAAATTATAAAAACGATCTACATTGTCTCTTGATTCATCAGAGCCACCTAACTGCGGAACTGGGTTTTTTTCAGACCACTGAGAATTTAATTCAAAGTACTTATTGAAAATAGAATAAAAATCACCTTTACTGACCTCAGAATTAGTTGGGATATTGTCATCAAAATATGGGTCAACTGAATCATAAGACCTCCTTTTGGTTTTATCTCCTAAGATTTCCCATGCTTTTGTAATACATGTAAAATAGTCATCATCCCGATTCACAATTTCACCTTTGGCTTTTCTTTTATCTGGATGATGCTTCAACACTTTGTGTCTATAGGCAGACTTCACTATTGCTGGAGATGCCTTGAATCTTAATTCACCTAATCCCAAAACAGCATAATGGTCTTGCTTTTTCCATTCTTTGGGGTCCAAGCTTCTTAAATAATCATCATCATTATCATCTGGAATAAATACTAAGTCTTCTGATTGATCAGAAGAAGAATTGATTTCTAAAGCCACATTACTATCACAAGCTAAATTTCTGATGTATTCTACATAGTAAGGTCCAACACATTCAACTAATTTATATTCTAATGTCAAACCATTAGTAGTCTCTTTAGTAAGATCCACAACCATTATATATTTTTTTGAATTTCAAAATATTTGCTGTCCAATAAAACAATATTATCTTATAATAACAATTTAATCTTTATTTGAAACTAAATAACTTGAGCACAACATTTAAAAATTATATGCAAAGAATAAGCATGTGTATAACTATAACCTCCTCGATCAGTAATATAACCTTTTTAATATTCGGAAAACCGCATAAACATGGATAATAGAATATTTCGTTCATTTGTGATCATACTTGAGAATTATTAACCCAAATAAAGATTTATAATTTATATTCATAAAATTTTAAAAAATCAAAGTTTAATTGTAAATATATACGGGATACAACAGTGTATACATGACTTAAAATATTACTTCTATTTTATTTAATTGAATAAAGTTTAAACTAATATTATTTTAAAGTATAATATGGGTATGATTTGTTAAAAAATTCACATTTTTTTTTATTTAAATAAGCCACTTAACTGCTACTGAAAGAAGACGCTGTGGTCGCCATATTGAGTATTTTATTGTCGTGGCATTTCGATTTTTGTCTTTATTTGTTTTAAAAATTTAGTTATTTTAGTGTAATATATGAGTAGGTCGTCTCGAAGTGATAAATTGAAAGGAGGACACAGCATGAAAAGGAGAAGTACAAGTCGAGATTCTCCTCCTATTAGAAGCAAGCGGTCTCGGTCTAGTATTGGAAGATATGATGACAGTTCAGATGAAAGATTATCGCCAGATCGTCTTAGACGCCGAAGTAGGGTAAGATCTCCTCCTAGTCCCCGTAGGTATCCGTCTCCTAGTTCACACAGAAGTGATTACAGGTCTAGAGAATTGGACCGATCGTATCCTAGTTACAAAGTGTTGTGTGTTAGTGCGTTACATCCTAAAGCAAGTGATGAAGTTATTAAAGACACGTTGTATAGAGAGTATAAAAAATTTGGTGAACTGAGTATTCGTATTTCTCATGATTTGGATGAAAGAGTAGCTTATGTGTGCTTTCGAAATTCAGAAGATGCCAGAGATGCTAAGAGAAGTAAGCCAAGAATCATTTTGTTTGATAAAGTTGCCTTGGTAGAACCAGTTTATGAAAGTAGAAGTTCCTCAGATCCATATAGACCGAGGAGTAGACCAAGATCTAGAAGCTTGACCCCCGATCATGACCGGTATTATCGAAGCCCTGAACATAGGGCTCCTGACAGAAGTGTTGAACGCATGTATGGACCTCCTCCTGTTATGCAATACAGGGAGTACCGCCATGATGTTCTTTCAATGCATCACCCAGATTTTATTCGAGGCCCTCCCATGCACCATGGGATACCACCACACATTCCTCCTGTCCCACCACACCACTACGGACCTCCTCGACACATGATTCATGGATTTCGCCCACCTCCACCTCATTTTGAGCATAAAGTAGAAAATAAAAAGGATAAATTTCCTAACTATTTGCATCATGTCCCTCCAGAAGATGATCCCCTTGCCACCCGAACTTTGTTTGCTGGGAATTTAGAAGTAAATATATCTGATGAGGAACTTAGGCGAATTTTTGGTCGTTATGGGGTTGTTGAAGATATAGATATTAAACGCCCCTTACCTGGTACTGGTAATGCTTATGCTTTCGTACGTTATCAGAATTTAGATATGGCACATCGGTCAAAGGTCGAGTTGTCAGGACAATACATAGGAAAGTTTCAATGTAAAATAGGTTATGGTAAAGCGACTCCTACTACTAGAATATGGGTTGGGGGATTAGGTTCTTGGACTTCTCTTTCTCAGTTAGAAAGAGAATTTGATAGATTTGGAGCAATAAAAAAAATTGATTATATTAAAGGTGATACCCAAGCCTATATTTTATACGATTCTATAGATGCTGCTACTGCAGCAGTTAAAGAGATGAGAGGATTTCCATTAGGAGGTCCAGAGCATAAATTGCGTGTTGATTTCGCTGATGTTAATCCTGTACCACCCATGAAACCTAAGCCATTGCCTGGAGAGGAAATTGGTGCTGGAGATTTTAGAGCCCGGGATGCTTTTCCCTACCCAGATCCACATTATGAAGCCTGGGGTGAGGGTGATTATTATAGTGGTTCCAGAAGTTTTAGAGGTCGAGGGGGAAATGGTGCGTGGTCTGATAGGAGGAGTAGTAGGTATCGCTATGGTGAAGAAGAATGGAGAAGGTCTGAAGAATATGACCGATATAAAAGATCTGGATCTCGGGATAGATCACAACCTCGGTCTGAGGGAAGTGATAGCCATAATGGCCTCTTAGGTTCTGTCAGGACTTTGTCTGAACTTTCCAAAAAATGTATTACATCATGGAATGGAGCACTCATTTTGAAGAACTCATTATTTCCTGCAAAATGTCATCTTACTGATGGTGATAGTGATATCATAGACAGTTTGATGAAGGATGAAGACAACAAACCTTTACTTAGAATTACTCAAAGGCTTCGTCTTGATCAGCCTAAACTTGAAGATGTATCAAAAAGAATTTCAAGTTCCAGTAGTCATGCAATATTTCTTGGTCTCTCTAATTCCAGTTCTACTAGTGTATCCAGTAATGATGTTTCAGTACAAACAAGACCTCTCAGAAATCTTGTTTCATATCTCAAACAGAAAGATGCTGCTGGAGTAATATCTCTTGTTAATAAGGACACTGAAGCCACAGGTGTGCTTTATGCATTTCCTCCTTGTAATTTTTCTGCTGATCTTTTGAAACGTACTGCTCAGAGTTTAACAGCAGATGCATTAAAAGAAGATCATTTGGTAATTGTTGTTGTTCGAGGAGGCACAGCATGATTATAATTACCTATAATTTTTAATTGTAAATTACTTATAAAATTACTATTGTATTTTAATCAATTATATCAGTTGTTTGTAATGTTACGTGACTTGAAACTGTGAATATGATATTTAGATTTCAACTAGTGAACTTTGGTTGAGAACTTAATTTTGTTTATTCTTTTATACATGAAAGTTTTGTTATTAGAACTAACTGATCTTTTATGTTGACTGCTATGAATTAACTTTAGTGTTAGTGATTGAGGTTTACATATAGTACACATATGTGTGTAATTTGTGATACCAGAAAAAATAATAGTTATGTGTTTTTTTTTTTTTCAGTGAAGTGATCACTGTGTAATTAATTTTAATATCTGGAAAGTGATGTTTTGTTTTTCTTTTCATTTTAAAAAATAATTGAAATGATTAAGCCTTATTCTTGATTTTGTGACCGGTTTTTATTGATAGTGATGTGAAGTGTATTTTGTTGTGAAAAAAATAGATGGTTTACACTCCATTGTGTAATTTTACTAACTCCCATATCTGTGTGAAAAGTGGTTTCAGTTGGGTGTAATAGTACTTATTACTTTTTTGTGGGAAAGATTTAAAACTAAATTAAACAATAATAGTCTGTGAAGTAAGTGTAGTGAATGTCAAATATTCTACTTATAGTTCTTTTGTTTTGGCATAGTGGAGTTCTTTTAGTGCCGTTTCTTGTGTAATTTTGTGAAAATCGTTAACAGTTTTGAGTAAATGTGATCCAAGTTTTGATGAAATTATGTCGTGTATTTTTCCCTTTTAAGAAATGGATATTCATTTAACAGGGAAAAACTGAAAAATTATCTATTTTTCAGAGATAATTGGTACGGTAAGCTCTAGCTTTATTTATATTCAATGGTACGCCCCAATAAATATTTTTTTAATAGATTTTTTTTTCTTTTTAATTATAGTGCCCAAAGTAATTAATTTTAACCGTACGACAGCTAAGCCTTTGATGTAAATCATATTGTAAAAACAAATTAAATGTATTTTTTTTTTAATTCACCTAATCAACACATTTTTTTTAATGGAAATTTAATTTTAATTTTATTTTTTAATAAGTTCAATACAACAGATTTTTCATTAAGTTTGCAACAATTTATTTTTTATCTAATAATTATTTTTCAATTAGCTGGTATTTATTTCAACTTTTGGACTGTAATGATATTTAGTAGATAGTAAATGTGATTAGCATTGGTAGTATAGTATAATTAATTTTATTGCTCTTCAGATTTTAAGAGTGTTGTTATAAAAAAACATGTTATTGTTAATATAAAGGGCCTCAATAAGGGATGGTCGATAATTAATACGATATCTAATGCTATTTTAATTTTTAAAACCTGTATAATTTTAATAATAAAATCCTATTAAAGTATATAAATAAAGTTAACTAACATTTTACTCTCCTAATAAAAATTTTTATGACTTCAGAATCACTTTATTGTCCCATCTTCAGACCTTATCTCATCTTTCTATCATCTAATTTTTAAAAAAGACTTGTCATAATTTTTATTTTTATAAATTATCCCTTAGTTATATTGTGGACTCCTCTAGGGAGAGTCTAGTCAGACACTTCAGAATCTCCCTAGAGGAGGCCACTATATAACTAAGGAATAATTTTTAAAAAATTAGATGATATAAAGATGGGGATATTAAAGTGATCCCAAAACGTCATAAAAATAAAGAAATACTTTTATTGGGAGAGTAAACTGTTACTTAACTTTATTCGTATTCCTTATATAAATAAACATCTCTCTTAGGACTTATGGACAAAATCCTATTATTTTCTAAGCACCAATACTATTGGTCTCTTAACCCTATCCCTCTCCACCATGTAGTGATCCTGGTTGGTATAGTGATTTTCATTATAATGAACACTTACCTACCTAGCCGTACTGTCTTTGATGATAAATAAATTTACTCATTTTTTATTATAGGTATTGATTTTTTAACCCAAGGTTGTGGGTTATCAGGGCAAGCAGGTCTTGTAAAGTTAACACGATAACTTGAGAAGAACTTGTACTCTTCTGATGACAGCAGATCCTACTTTGCCTGAAGATGACCCTCAAGCATGGGTTGAAACATTGGTTCCTATATTTTAAAAAATCTGGTGAAAAAATAATTATGATAACATTTAACTTTAATCATCTCTAATTAAACAGTCAGGACGCAGTCATTTTTAAGGTTTTCATTGGTGCCGATGTTTCAACCAAAGCATGTGGCTCACCATCAGTGTTTTGAGCACTGACGGTGTTCAAATACTTGAACATCTTCAGTATTCAAAACATGCCCTGATTATGAAATATGAAAATGAGAAATATCTTTGAAAACCAATAGGGACCAAAATAAACAGAAACCTGGATTTATAAGAAAATGAAAATCAAATTTAAAAAAAAAAAAGGGAAAATTATTAAGGCTCTGTGATTTAATTGATAATCAATGTTGAAAGCTGCTATCTATCCTTTAAACAATCAAAGTGACCAGTGCTCAATTTTTCTTGTTACGTCTATCTGTGGGTTTACAATTTTATAATTTTTTTCCCTTTCCTTAAAATCTATTTAAAACATTATTTGTTTTTTTAAATAGTTTTAATCTAATAATTTTGTTTTTAAATACGTATTTTTTCACAAATGGAAAATAAAGAGGGTGGAATTAAATAGGCATTTGTATTCATAATGATTATATTTATACCACACACTACATTTTAGTGTGGTGTTACGATTAGTGATCATGTTTCGGTTTTTGTTAGGCATATATATATAATATACATTTTTTTTATATATGGGTGTAAATAAGAGGTGTAACAAAGGGTTGGAAACAAAGTAAAATGCCATGTAAAAAAAACTCATTGTTTAATCACTTCTAATTCTGATCTATATCCAACCACTCTCTCATTATTACTTCTCACTTCTACAAGTTGAAGGTCTATTCTTAAGGGATTTTATCTTATGTAATCTAGTTACTTTTTATCTTTTATGAGTCCCTAATTATGATTTGCATTCATTTTGACATAACAACTGTTATGTGGAGTTGTAGTAATGATTTCTTATTGAAGTTAAGCAGTGCTAAATACTCACAGATTTCTTAAATAAATGAATTACTTCATTAAATAGAATAAAATTCCAAATGTTAAGCACCAAAATCAAGATTATGAAGGAGTTGGTCTAGCTGATTTCCATGTTTCAAGAGATCTTAAGCCACATAATTTTAGTTTTTCTGTATATCATTTAGTGATTACAAGATTTATGTTATCAAAAAAGTAGTATCATAATATTTATCAATTCTAAACTTATTTAATATTTTATTGATCAACATTAGATTTGTAGGAAATTTCCTCACTACTTTTAATGACTGGTTTTATAAGTCAATTTATTTTAATACACTAATTATCAAAAAGCACAACAAATTTTATCGTAAGTTAAGGCTCTAGATCATACCGTCCAGACATCTTCCCATACAATTCAGCTGATTACAGCATCAGAATTTCATTTAAGCTACAAAAACTATGAAGAAAAGCCACTCAGCTCTGATCACTCTCCGTCATCTCTCAACTCTCTCATTCTTAAGCTCACCATCATTAGTCTGTATAATAGTTCAAGTCATTAATATTAATTGTATTTTTCATAAATGTAAGTTTTTTAAAAGTCAATCGGTCTGCCTAAATTCTTAAATGTTGCACACAACAGGTACTCTTACATAAACTTGCTCTAGACTGGCTTCACTCTATTCTCTGAAGAAATATTAATAGCGGAACCAGAAGGCCACCAACAGATTCTCAATCCTTCGAAAGAAGAATCCTTTTTGAGGATCAGTCAGTTTGGATCCTTAACTGTAACTGCGAAAATATGGCACCTCAACAAACTAAAGATATGTCATAATGGCCTTTTTATATGATAGTGCTAAATACCAATTTATCATACAGGTAGGAATTTAATGTATTAAAAAGAGGCTAATAACATTTGTAACAGTTTGAGAAATTTTAGGATTGTGGGATAGCTCAGCAGGCAAAGCACTGACTTCGTAAGGTCCATGGTTTGAATTCGGCTGATGTCATTTAGTTATTTATTCTGTTTCATGAGCTGTGGATCGACTGATGTCAGCAAGCCCTCCTGAGGTTCACCAACCTCGATGAAGTTGTTATTCTTAGTTAAATAATTGATTAAGGGTGAAAACCTGGTAGTTGAGCGTGATCTTGTTAGAATCCCCTCTCTGCGCAAGCATGACCCTTGAAACAGTATTTCCTTAGAAAGCATTGAATCCAAGACCCTTTCTGGGTTGTAGTGCTATAGGTTTATATATATATATATATAATATATATATATATATATATATATATATACATATATATATATGAAAGATTTGAAAACAGGAGAGAAATAAGGCTGCATAAGCTCCCTTCCAAATTCAGACAGACACTATCATTATATTATAACTTTTGGTCCGGGGTTGCGGTCATAAATAGTGGTAAAACTATTTAGCCTATTTATGACCGCAACCCCGGACCATCTTTCTTTATAATGCAATGGTCAACTATTAAATATTCAATATTGATAACTTTTCTTTATAATTATTGTATGAAAAGTACTATTTATTGGTATTTATACCATTTCTGATATAAGTTCCAATAAAGAGAAATCTGCCTAGTTCAGCTGCACGAAAAACATTCATGCTTTTACTTAAAAAAATTGTTTGGCTTTTTGTTTTGGCATGATACGACAAAAATTTCATATTTTTTTCTATTAATGTACATGTGTGAGGTGAAACCTGACTCGCGTACACTAAATTTTGAAACAATACATGAGAAATGAGGCCAATAAATACTTTAACCAATTTTGGTCCAATTTAAATGATAATTTTTTAGATAATTTATCTAACTCTCAAGTGATTATTTTGAATGTTCCATAACTTCTTTACTTTTTCTTACTTTGCTTTGATTAAATTATAAACTATGTATAATAAGTTAAAATATTCAAAGGAGAAGACAAAGAAAATTTCATATTACTTGGAAAAAAAATGGACAAAATTATTTTGAAATTTACTATAATTGAGATTTAGTTGACCACTGATGAAATGTTAGTATATGTTGAGAAATACTTTTGTTTTTCTATATCTGTTCAGGGCTAAGAAAACAAGATGTGGGAATAATAATGGACATAGGAAGATAAAATGAATTTATCAGTTTCATCTGGGAGAATATAACTCCAACATAAATTTGTAGGAGTTAGATGTAAGGGTGTATCTAACAAAGCTGGTATTTTTATTTTTTTACGAATCTATTTAGGTTTTACTTTTCATGATGGTTTTTTCAATGCTAACTTCCTCTTTTGGTTTTTAATCACCTTAGCTTTATCCATTAAATGTAATATTATCTATGGTCTCAACTTTCAATTAAGTTTTATATAGCTTCTATATTTTCCAAATTACTAGGATGAGAAGTCGTTATTATAGGAGCATATGCTCCAACAAATAACTTCATAGACTGAAAATGATGATTTTTTGTACAATTTAAGACAATATTGAAAAGATACCTAAAAGAAAATAAATCTTTATGATGTGAGATATATCCAGAGTAAAAAGGGAAACTGGAAGTAAGGTATTGGGGGATATGTCAAGGAAGATGGAAATAACGGAAACAGCCTAAAGGAAATTTGTTAAGAATTTGGACTAGCAATATAAAATACCTTATTTCAACACAAAAACATTCATAGATTCACCTAGGTACAAATAACAAGATATTTTGGATCAATGATTGACTTAATTATAACGAAACAGACTTGCTCCATTAAATTCCAAAATGTTCAGTTGTATAAAGGAGCCGAATATGGCTCAGATCAGTTTCATGTAAGAGAAAAAGGGAGTGGCCATGGAGGAGGAAACAAAGCGATAAT